TTAATCTTTCCCTGACTTGGTGACAAATATTCTTCCGCTGCAGCTTAAATTTTTTTTATTTTTTAATTTTTATCTTTTATATTTATTACGTCATTGATTTTATTTTTTCAACTATCATTAAAAATTAATAATCTTTCAACTGAACTCTACTCACTGTATTCCTATCAATGTTTATTCATTATGTGCTCAATTGTTTCTACCCCTTTGAACTGTTGTCACAATTAATGCTCTAGAATATTCTTTCATATTAGGTATATATTTACAATATCCAGCCTTTTAATTTCATTTACACCCATGTCATACTTTACGAATATTTCTTCAATATAAACCCTCTCATGTAAGCAATTTAAACCCATTATGTAATTATTATCTTTTTAAATACTATAGGTTGTAAGCAGCTGACGAGAACCTACGAAATAAAATGAATTCATGTTATTCTGCTAAAATCTTTGTTCTTGCTCTTTTCAAAATGATAAAGGGAACTATGTGTATGAGACTGTTCTTTTTTCAAAAAAAGGTTTATATTATTGTTAAAGACAGTATTATTATAATTACCACTGTTGATCTCCATTTGATTGAATTATTTCAGTCTTTCTTAGTATAGAGGCTCTTAGAGCAGATACTTTGATATTACAAGTTGCTACAAGCTTTTCCATATTGTGTGATAGTAGTTCAACGTACAATATTTTCTGGCTTTCTTTGTGACACTAATTTAGTATACATAGCGTTGAAACTTGAAGTGATGGGTGTTTCAGTTCTATACTCAATATGAAAATCAACATCACCCCGATGTACTTAACCTTAACTGAAGTCCCAACTAAAGGGAAACATTTATGAGAGCTTTCAGTACTAATAACTATCGAAAGTAGTTATTTACTTATTTACTTACGTCTGTTACTCCAAACTGAGCATAGGTCGTCGACCAGCATTCTCCAACTCACCCAGTCCTGGGTATTCCTTTCTAGTTCTATCCGATTGTTGTTCATTCTTCTCATGTCTATTTCCATTTCTCGTCGTGATGTGTTCTTTGATCGTCCTCTTTTCCTTTGGCCTTGAGGACCCCAAGTGCGGGCTTGCCTTGTGATGCAGTTGAGTGCTTTCCTCAATGTGTGTCTTATCCACTTCCATCGCTTCTTCCTGAATTCTTCCTACACTGGGATCTCTTTTTTTTTCTCACACAGTTTTTTGTCAGTGTCTAATAGTGTTTGGCCAACGGATCAGAAGTATTTTGCGTAGACAATTGTTAATAAGCACTTGTATCATCTGTATGATGGCTTTCGTAAATCTGCAAGTTTTCGCCCCATACAGTAGAACTGTGTTGATAATTGTGTTGGAAATTCTGACCTTGGTGTTGGCTAAAATTTGTTTTGCGTTCCAGATGTTCTTCAACTGTCGATATGCTGCTCTTGCTTTGCCGTTACGCTCATTCACACCTGCATCAGATCTACCTTCTTTATCAATGATGCTGCCCAGATGTATACAGGTTTTCACATATTTCAAAGCTTCTCCGTCAAGTGTGATTCGATTGGCGCATGATGTGTTGTATCAGAGAATATTGCTTTTCCGCTTGTGTATGTTGAGACCCACTACTGCTGAGGCTGCTACTACACTGATCGTCTTCTCTTGCATTTGTTGTTGCGTGTGTGATAGAAGAGCCAGATCATCTGTGAAGTCTAGATTGTCTGGCTACATTCTAGCTGCCCACTGTATCTCATGCTTCCTCTCAGATGTTGACGTCTTCATGATTCAGTCGATCATCAGGAGAATGAGGAAGGGTGAGAGTAAGCAACCTTGCCTAACACCGGTATTTATTTCTAATCAATCTATCAGCTGTCCTCAATACACGATTTTACAGTTTAATTCATCAAAAGTAGTATAATATAAAAATATTTAAGCAAACATGATGAAATCTGATAAAATATTGTTTTTCTAAAATTAAGTAATAAATAAATGCATAGTTTTAGGACATTTTATTTGATTATTCATTAAAATTCAGCCTATAAATTAGATCGCAATCAAATTGTTTTCATTGAATATAATGCAATACAGTTGTTAGGGTAAACATAAACATTTCGAAACTATTCTTAGTTAAGTTTTTAAATTTTCAAAGATATTTGAATTACCTGAAATTTATGTTATGTTAATTGATAATACAACTCCGCCTGGAGTCCCTCCGGGGGCTACTGCCGGTCCCAAGCCCGGATAAAGGAGGAGGGTTGGGCATGGGGTTAGCGTCCCCATCCCGTAGAAAACTAATTCTCTAAAAAACGCTAGCCAGAAAAAAAATTATTCAAACCTTCTAAACCTAATTGATAATACTCCTCTCTCTCTCTCTAAGCTGAACGACTGATTTTTTTTATTAGTTAGCAGGGGTTTTCTTTTATTATTTACAGTCAGCATAATCTTTAGGTAGAGATAACTACTCTAACCTGTACTTAATTGAGTAAATAATCATTTTGTTGAAATGGAATAATATTTATTGTTGCTAATCATTAATAGTTTGACATTCTGTATATTCATTTTTGTTATATTCAACCTTAGAGTGTTTTTCAATGAAAACAATTATTCAGTAGTTAATCAACAGAGCTAGAAGATAATTACCTTCAGAGAAATTTTATTACTTTAATTTCTTTTCAAGTTTGTGCTTCAACTGATTCTATTTTCCTTGTAGACTGTACTTTTCCATCATCTCATTTGTTTTATTTTTTTAAAAAGATATGCCTTCATCCTTTCAAGAAAAGTAGAAATAAAGTGATCTTTTGGTTGACTACTGTATTTATTTAATTAAACACATAGATACTGGTACAAAGAGGCACCGAATATATATGCGTCACACAAGTCACTTGATTTGTGTGTAGGCTGTGATACAGTCCGGTTACCCAGATCAAAGCAGGTGGTTTTCTTAGGGGACCACAACCGGAACCTTTGATCTAAATGTCTAATCAACAAGTCAGTGGAGCAACATAAGAGGATGCAGTCCCATGGTAACCGGTAACCAACAATAGGTTCATATGGCATTTGTTCCTTCAGGATACTTGATCCCATGTGTACCATTTGTTTGTAATCACGGTTTTTGAACGTCCCTATGTAGACTCTCCGTGTCCATCAACCCGATTAAAGCGCCGGACATTTGGTTTTCGTCCTCTCAATTTCGTAAAGAACGCGCCCGCCACGAGAAGGCTTTGAGTGGGACTTCCGTGTCAGTGGTTGTATGCACGTGGTGATGTGAGATCATTTGGAGAGGGAGAGCTGACTCTCCTCACTCTCGGTCGTACCATGGCATTTGTGGGGCGTTGATTGTTGACCAGTTTCTAACTGTTTAGCTCTCACTCAACTGTTTACTGGTTTTACTGTTTAATCAAGTATTTTAGAAAAATTATGACCTGTTAATCACTAATTTCATTGTTTTATTACTTTGATAGAAATGCCCCCTGAATATACTCAAATTGTATTTTGTTTAAATGTACTGTAACTCAAAGCATATGTCTTTCTTATTTCTATAACTATACTGAGAGAGTTCACTCTTGTTTTAAAACTCAGATTTCGCGCATATAAAGAACTTGAAGTAATTTACATGTAATTACATATATAAACTGTGCTTTACCACAGCCTAACTCGACACTCAATTTTATTAGAATGTAAGTAAGTTGAAAGATAAAGACAGCCAAATCAAGACGTAACATCAGTCTATGGAGTCATTCACTATTGATCTCAGCTATGTTGATAATTGCAGACTACGTATTTAGAGTTTCTGTAATAGTGGCGATCAATGCTTGGAAACGTGAGTAAAACTCTTTAAAGTCAGTTTCAATAGGCAGGAAGATTGAGATTCTTTCTTCATTTAGATCGTGATTTTAAAAATTTTCTTACACCTTTTATTCCATTATTTCATTCCTTCCTTTCTGAGTCAAATGTTCGCAACTATTACTGATAATGTGACTAATTTTAATACTCTGATTTTTATCTTAATAATTTAAGACTCTTACTGTTTTCTTCTTTGTAAAGACTCATCGAAAGTAGTATACGTAGTAAGCTTTAGCTTAAGAACCAACCTGTTTATCCAAACGACTCAATTTTAAGTGATCAGAACTTTCCATTTTTATGAGTTCACAGTACGTTATTACTATCATTATTTACTATTCGTCTGTAAGCGTATTGTCTTTGATTTGATCAAATATAAAAATTATAGCCCTGAACAAAAGCTTCAGGAATTTGGTATGATGGTTGGAGGTACTCAACAAAAACCCCTGGACCGAGGTTTCGTTCTGTTTGGCACTTGTCAGCAAGGCGTGTCTGTAATCTTGTGAAAACCGACGCTTTCTGACGGATTTGATCCCGTGTCACCCAGCTTCACAGTCAGAGACGTTAACAGTGAGCTATCCAGGTCGTGACTGACCTTCTGTAGGATTAAGATGTATGCACAATTGATTGACCACTGGATAGAGATCAATATCATGTGTGTCAGGTCCTTCTTAGTGCAGACCATCCAATCTCAACATAGTGCATGCAGTGTCGAGTCACCTAGACTGGTGGCCACATTGCAACATGGTCGATAGCATTCGATCTGTATTAATAAGCACTTGACACACATGACATTGATCACCCACCACGCAGTGATCAATCAATTGTGATTACATCTCAGTCATACAGGAGGTCGGTTGCGGCCTGGATAGCTCAGTGGTAACGTTTTTGACTGTGAAGCTGGGTGACATGGGATAGGATTCGTCAGGGAGCACCAGTTCCCTCAAGATTACAGGTACACTTTGCTGACGAGTGCCAGGCAGCACGAAACCCGGCTCTAGGGTTTCCTGTTGACTACATCCAACCACCATCTATTCTACAGATCATTTATTTGCAAGCATTCGATTATTGTTCACTTGACCGGTTATAAAATTATTTCAATTTTGCAAAAGTTCTCTTGATGAACTTAATTCAGTTCATTACTTCCAAAATTCAACTTTTTTATCGTTTTGATTTTTTATTTCTATATGTTCATTTAGAGTTGGGAATTTCGCATCATTAGATGGAGTGATATTTTGTAAGCCACATTATATAGAACAATTTCATATGAGTGGTAAGTAACAGTGTAATTATGTTATGCATCTATTACTACTTATTAATTATGTTCAGAAAGGCAATATATTCTAATGTATTTAAGCCTTTCTTATTCATATGTTACAAATATATATATATATATATATATATATATATATATATATATATATATATTTCACAGGTTGAAATCATGAGTCCATTGAAGCTAGACCACCATGGAAAACCTGGAAGCACTGGACGGCCGTTTCGTCCTAGTGTGGGACTCCTCAGCAGTGCGCATCCACGATCCTGCCACAAGAGGTTCCAATTCAGGTCCTTCAGTTGATTCATGATTTCAACCTGTGAAATTTCCTAAATTCTCCACAAATCTCATTCTGATATATATATATATATATATATATATATATATATATATATATATATATATATTCTTTAAACTACGTGATGGTATGTATTATTCTCTGGACTGGAGGGTTTCATAAGTAGAACAAGATTTAGATTTCCTGGTTGTTGGCACTTTTCTGGTTAGCGCTCTTTTTACTTATTTACGCCTGTTACTCCCAATGGATCATTCTTCAACCCACCCAGTCCTGGGGCATCTTTTACAGTTCTGTTCAATTTTCGTCCATTTTTCTAATGTCTATTTCCATTTCTCATCGTAATATATTCTTTGGTCTTCCTCTTTTCCTTTGGCCTTGAGGGCTCGTCTTGTGACTCAGTTCGGTGCTTTCCTTCAGTCTTCAGTCTTCAGTAATAAGGATAGTAGGTTGATGAACCTGTGTTAATCCTGACACATTGCTTTCCAGTGAAGGTCCAGCTTTTCCTTGAAAGTATTCACTGATGGGACTGATACCACTTGTTCGGGTAAGGCGTTCCAATGATTGACTACTCGATGAGAAAAACGGGATCCCACTTTAAGTTTATTAGATCGTGGTTTATGAAGCTTCTTGCTATGACCTCGGAGATTATAATTGCTGGAGGGAGCAAGAAGATAAGACATATTAACACCCAAATCATAATTAAAGATACGAAATGCCAGTATAAGGTCACCTCGTGTCCTACGATACGACAAGGGGAAAAGATTTAGGCGTTTTAAGCGCTCATCGTAAGGGAGACTAGAAAGACCCTTCACTAATTTCGTTCCCACACGCTGGACACGCTCAAGGGAGTTAGTATCCTTTACCAGACACGGGCTAGCTGCTTGGATACAGTACTCTAAATGTGGTCTAACATATATGGGATATAAAATTCGAAACGTTTCCTCGTCAAAAGATTTGAACGCTCGGCGAAGTGACCATAACGCACGAAAACCTTTGACAGCGGCTGCTTTGCAATGCGCAGTTGTTTTTAAGTCATGACTTAATATTACTCCTAAGTCCTTATGCTCTTGAACGCATGGAAGAGGTTTACCCTCAATAGTGTAACGGTAACTATTACCGTGACCGACGTGCATTAGTACACTCTTCCTAGCATTAATTTCTAAACCCCACTCTCGAGCCCATCTAACTAAATCGTCTAAATCAGCTTGAAGATCCACACGATCAGCCGCACTTTTTATTGTTCTCCAGATTTTTATATCATCTGCAAACAATAATGTCGACGACCTAAGTAACAGTGGTAACTCATTAACGTAGAGAAGGAAGAGCAGAGGGCCTAAGATGGTGCCTTGGGGTACACCACTTTTGACCGGCTTCCAATCGGATAGCGTTCCATTGACCCTAACTCTCTGTCTGCGGTCACATAAGAAATTTCCTATCCACTCATGTACAGTACCTAGTATTCCGAAGCTCGTGAGCTTCTGCATAAGACCTACGTGTGAAACCTTGTCAAACGCTTTGCTAAAATCTATGAATATCACGTCGACAGACAGACCGTTATCTAGGGCTGCTGTCCAATCCTCCCTCGCAATAAGCAAGTTAGTCAAGCATGAACGCTTGTTACGAAATCCGTGTTGCTCAGGAGCTAACAGATTGTGTAAATCTATGTGGCTTAGCAACCTAACCCGAATTATCTTTTCAAGTAACTTAACGACTATGCTAGTTAGACTGACAGGCCGGTAGTTAGATGCTATCTGTCGCTGACCGTCCTTAAATATAGGACTAACTATAGCGTCCTTCCAATCTCTAGGGAGTTGGGCGAGTGAGAGGGACATGTTGAAGAGTGTCGCAAGCGGTTTCGAAATAATGTCCGCAAGAGATGACAGCAACCGTGGATGTAACCCGTCAGGGCCCGGTATCTTACCAGGTTTGAGGTTAGTTATCAACGGAAGGACAGTTTCCTCAGTCACCTGTACGGATTCAATGGTTGGTATCTCGGTGTGAATGGGACAAGTATTTGTTACAATAAACGTAGAGAAAACTTCGCTAAAATAATCTGAAAAAGTCTCAGCTTTTGCTCGATCTGATTCAGCTAGTAATTCTGAATTTTCGTGTAACAGCAACGGGGGAATACCATCACTACGTTTCATTTGCCGTTTAACATACGAAAACAGTCGTTTCGGACAAGTACGGCTATCATATACTAACTGTCGTTCGTAAGTGGTACGGGATTTCGCTATGGTTTTCTTACAGATATTACGGTATTTTTGATACTCACGCTTAAATGGTGCATGACCTGTCAACAAGAATAAGTCCCAGAAATGTTTCCTACGCTTTAACAGCTTCCGGGTTTCCTTATTAATCCATGAAGGGCAATGTGATAGCTTACGTGCTGACCATGGGATAAACGGCGACGTTACGGACTCGAATGTAGCCTTAAACTTATTCCATTCATCTTCGATCAATCCATCCGCGTCGACCGACCAATCAGTCGAGATAGCACGGTTTCTGATTTCCGGAATATTAGCTCGCCAGATATTGGGACGGGGTGGAGCAGATACGAATTGTATACCATGTGTCCTAAACTTAAAGTGAATTACAACGTGATCACTGTTCACTAGTGGAGGAAGGTGCTGGATATCAAAGACATCCTCAGAGTGGTGGGTGAGGGCGAGGTCCAGCAGTGACGGAACATGATGCAAATCAATATGTGTCGGTTTTGTGATACATTGTACAAGTGCACACTGAATAACGGTAGATAAAAGGTCACTATCGAAACCGCTACCTGGAGCTGTAAGCTCTATCCAGTTGATATGCGGTGCGTTGAAGTCCCCAATGATGAGACAACATTCTGCCATACTCCAAGAACAGATGTGTCTTAGGATAAAGTCGTCAGCCAGACAAGACGGACTACGGTATATTCCTCAATTTGTATCCTATCCACTTCCATCGCTTCTTCCTGATTTCTTCCTCCGCTAAAAAAACGCTGTTTTTTCTGGTTGACGTTTTTTTTAGCGAGTTAGTTATCTACGGGATTGGCTCACTAACCCTATGCTCAACCCTCCTCCTTTATCTGGGCTTGGGACCAGTAGTAGACACAGAGAGTATCCAGGCGGAATTTTTTTTAGCACTTATCATCAAAACTTATCTTTAGTCTTCTATGTGTGTTATTTCGAACTATATCAAATAGTGTTACAGTTAGAAACTTTTGAATGTAACTGGCTTGGCATGTAATTCAATAATTTGCAGTTTGAAATTCAGTAAATTTGTAAGAATAAATAAATAACATTTATTTTCCATTCATTCACCATTTTTAACGGTAGAATATATAAGGATTTATGTATATCAATCATTATTTTAGAATAAAAAAGGTCTTTCATGTCCAAATGTAGATTCTTTTCGTTTCTAGATATTATTAATTCCTATCCATTGTTTATCGAATCTGTTTAGTGAATCGTAAATTATTCACTGAAAGATTATTTACTTTAGTATGGAAAGATATTTCTGCATAAGTAAAACAAGTTTTATATTCTTATTATTCATTTATGATATATGTCGATTGTGTTACGCTATAATCATAAATTAATTAACCGGTAATATCCCTATTGATCATACTGATTAGTTCTATCAATTGTAAATGTTCTTATTTTCTTTGATAATATGTTGTTAAGAGTATCAAATCAATGGTCAGCTATAACTGTTATGTCGATTACCGATTCAACAAGGGTTTTTTGAAGATTATTGAGTGTTACTTAAATCATGAACCAACTTAAGTTAGACAGCTGTTGGAAATCAGGAAACGTTGAATAGCCATTTCGTCGTAGCATGATACTCTTCAAAAGTGCATATCTGAAATGTTATGGGGATAAAACCTAAGACATTTGCTTTAGAAGAGAATGCATAGACTCCTGACCGCTAAGCCACCATTCAATGGTATATATGCCTAAACTCAATCAATTCGTGACATTATGCAACTATCTTCAGATTGTCTTCAGTGGATAATTGCCTCACACTTAATATGGTCGAAATCCACTAGTTACAGTTTCTCACTGAGATTCTAGAATTACCTTGTCAAAATTGGTCTCTATTGAATACATAATTTTCATTAGTACAGAGACAACGTGGAAATTAATAAATATCATTGATTCTCTTTGGTTAACGTTCGTTTCCTTTCTGATACTAATTTTAATGTGATAATCTAATTATCCAATTTATACTGATTAATTCATTATGGTTTAGACAAAATGATTATAATTTAAATAACTCATCATTTACATGCATTTGTGTCCGACGTTCAAGTTATTAGTAGTCATTACTGTTATATCCACGTGAAGATTAAATTATGGGTAACTTCTCAGTACTATTAATGGACTAATATTATATCTATATTCCTATTGTATAACCGTTCAGTAACTGGATTATGTATATCCATATTCCTCTTATTATTAGCTTCATTTTGACCTATAGATTATTATGATACAGTTTAATATTCTTAAGTTATGTTCAGTTTATTTATCACCGTCCCCCACAGGCACTTTTTGGCTGGATCTTGTATAAATGTTCTTTCGTATTTTATGGTGTGATGAGGCCTGTTTGGCTAGTATATAAACCAAGTATGTTTAAAACAAATGATTCGCATAGTGGGAGCTGTTGTTTATGTTGTGAACTCAAATGGAAGGGTTAAGAGAACAAAGTACCAATA